TAATTGCCCCCTCGCGCTTTTGCTATCGGCCCCGCCGGCCGCCGGGTGGCTGTTCGTTTCGGATTGGACGATGTCCGCGACACGCATCGGCAATTATTAGGTCCTGCAGAAGGAGAGAAGGAAAAAAAGAAATAGGCGGACGTGAAGAAACGGTTCAGTTGTACAGGAAAAAGTAGGCGAGCATGTGTTTGTAGAAAACGTTTTCGTTTGCATCGCGTTTGGTACTTCTGAAAGGAGGAGAAAAAATCGAAAATAAAAGACATTGTTATGGGGTCTCAACGCACGCGTTCCACGAGAAGATGAAGAAAGTTAGATATTTGTATTGACTAAGTCAGTGCATGATATCCGCTAGGATACAAAAGCCATACCCACACATACGCCGGGGCATTCTTCCTCGTCTCTCATAATTCTAAATTCCAAAATATGAGCCCGGTCGTGAGAAATCCGATCCTCCATTAGGGAAAGGAGCAGCGCTCGATGCTTTCGCCCGCCGCGTATGGGGGACGTCCTTCTTCGTCTTGGCGCGTCCGGCCGGGAGCCCTGCTGGTCATCTTGCCGTTCCAGTTTTTGGATTGATTTGAATAATTTCCGTTGCGACCCGCGAGGCCCGCGGAGGTCGCGGGTCATATGTGTCGCCGCGGCCGCGGTGCGTTTGCGCTGCGTTCCCGCGGTGCGCGAGTCGCTCAACCTGTCCGGCCGGGCGGGACGGGGGAGAGGAGGAGGAGGGGAGCGGCGAGAGTGACGGGCAAAGAGGAGAGGGAGGCTTAACGATGACGAGACGACGCGGACGTTCATGACTCCGACGAATTTTCCTGCTCCTCCTCAGAGAATCTTACTTGAAGAGGTCTGTTGTATTTTTCCACATTTTCATTCACGTGTAAGACCCAAAGGAAGGGTTTTCAAAATGCGTTTTGTAAACATTTTGGTAGTTTTATTTTTATTTGTTTTCTACAAACGCAATTTTTCCAAATTTTTAAAAATATTTTTTCCTGGATCCCTTTTAAAATGCGGGAAAGTGCGGGAAATGTGAAGTGACTTTGTCACCGCACGACATCGTTTTGAAAGGTCGACTATAACCGATCACTATTTCGATTTCACGTATATTCCGCGCAACTCTTTTGCCGGGGCGCGGAAGATATTCAGCGGATGATTGTGATGCGCACCTCTGCTGAGCCGTAAGAATTTAATCTCCTTCCCTCTGCTCCGTGTATAGTCCGCGATAGTCTGACGGCGTGGTGGCGGCGGTGGAGGTGGCGATGTCCGTCCTGGCCGCGGACCGGTCTCGTGGGGGGGG